TATATATATATATATATATATATATATATATATATATATAAGAAAAAAATAGCAAAAATGCTTTTCTGGAAGTATATTTGTAATAATAATAATAATAATATCTTCAAAATCTAAATAAAAAAATAATAAAAATCTAAGATCACATACATCGAGAAATGCATATTGTAGCCAAGCATGCAGCTATCATTAGGATGAATGGGACTGCTAACGGATTGCTCTCTCTGTGATTCAACAAGTGTTCACACTAAATCAAAAATGCTGACTTCAGCCTCCCAAAACTATCACATGAAGTAGGCTACCTCCTAAAACAAGCACTTGCCAGATTTACAGAAATGGCTGGTTAGGCTGAAAAAAAATGTGTATGTAAACTGATGGCATCTATGACACAGAAACAGACTTCAGTTAGATAAAACTCCAGAAGATTTTTGAAAGATACATAATCTCATCACAAAGGGTTAAGATCACTACATATGAGTCAGCAGGGTATTCCCTTTTCTCAACCGCAACCCTTCCTGTTTGGTACTGAAATTATGTTTTTTTATCTGATAACAGAGGTCAGTCTTTTTCATGTAATATCGAGATGACGTCTTTGCCTCTGTAAGTGTTTTTTTAATGTTTTTTCTTTTAAATAATAAAATAAATATCACGGAATTCTCTAGAGCAGTGGTTCTGAAAGTACAAATGTACTATAATATAATAATTTACACATTGGTATTTTTTTAATTTTCCATGTTTTATTTCTAATTTCAATTCCATATACTATTTGAATACTGCATGAATCTGTTTTCCAAACTCATGTTAATGATCTTATTGTTAAAATGCATTTACGGTTTTAAAATGTTTTGACGCAGTAATGTTTAATCAAAATGTCATAGATGAAACTCCAGTGAAATGAAAGAAACACCCTCTTGTGCGTTCGCAGGACTTCTACAGTCATTTAGTCGACTTAAACCCCGCTCCTGCAAGCTCACTTTTAAGTGCACATCTCAAAATACAATCAACAACCAAGGCACACTTTTTTTTTACGAGTCTGTTACAGAAGAAAAGCTCTGTTGCTGTTTCCATTTAGTTGTATGTTCTAGTTGTATGTTCTGCTTTGATCAAAGGTGCTACTTGGCGGTTCACCCTGAAAGCATGGTCATGTGATCTGCAGTGTCCACTGTCAGTCTCGTCTGATAAATTTGGACATTGATTGGAATTGTGCTGTCCAAGGTCCTGAAGCCTGAGGAAACACAAGCGGACATCAACAAGGGGCCTTTGTTTGTATCACTGCATATTTCACCAATATCCTTTATTCGCTTATATATTGCTTATTTGTATGGTAGGTTGTACGTTTAGTATTTTTGTTTTGGTAATATGATATCAATAGCCAGCTACAAGATATCATATAGTGTATTGGTAAGATGTTAAAGACATTCAGTCTCTATTGTCAGAGAGCTTTGCTGCCCAGTAAAAACAACTGGCGAAACTTAGTCAGCAAAGGAAGACTGCGTGAGCGTGCAAATTGCTAAGCAACTTTAACGTGCATAACAAAGCTCCCAGCTGCTCCATAAATCTAACCTTGAAGCTATTTCCCTCTCACCACAGAATCCCATTAAAAGAGGCTCTCAGAGTTAGCTAATCTAATAATGTATCAATGCCTGTGATATATGCTTACAAAAGCACAATTCAGTCACAAAAGATTTCATTCCACATCAAGCCCATTAACATTTCACACTGCTAACATCTGATGACCACAGAAATGTGTTATGGTGAAGTATGTGCCATATAGACTGAGCTGTAAATGGACCGACATTCACACATATGGCTGCACGGGTGGATCATGTGTAGACTATTCAACTGTCTCCAAACGAAAATGTGAAACAATCAGTTCAGCTGCAACGCTTTGTTTTTGGCTTTGGAAACCAGTAACCCGAAACCTTTATTTTTACACATGAAAACAATAAAGTCTAAAAAGAAAGAAAGAAAAAAAGACAAAAACAAAACAAAAAACTCAGCCTACATATAGGGGGCATATGTAAGCCAGTGTGTGCACACAGTACATTTGGCAAACATCCTGACATTTTTATGGGACCCCATGCGTGCCAAGTATTGAGAAATGTAATTGCTTCAAAAAATGAAACTTTGAGAGACAGAGCAAAGTTTGCTGTGCTAGCATTCAAAATGAAACAGCAGCTGTAGTAAAAGTAGGAGCCAAGAGTTTAACTTTAAAAAGCAAATTCTTGATAAAATGTTGGTACAAGCATTTTGACATATTTTTTTACTGTTACCATAAATAAAAGGAAAAAAAAATCATGATGTTAACATCATCATCAGATATGTAAATACATTTTAAAAATATGTTTTAAAAAAATAACTGTGTACATTTGTGTATGTTCAAATTATTTGTATTTTATGGTTACACCACTTGACATTTTTGAAATAATAATAATAATAACAAGAATTATTATTATTATTATTGAATAGTATACTTTTTCAAAAATGTGCAAAATCAACATTAATACAAAGACTTGTATTATATATTTAACATTTATATTTTAAAGGTCTTTTTTAACATTTGTTACATTTGTGTGTTCAAAGTGCAGTTTTTTATTTTATATAGTTACACCACTTGACATTTTAGAAGTCGTCATTATTATTATTATTAGATGTTTTTTTTAAAACAGAACCAGCATTAATACAAAGATTAAATGCTAATTATAATTTTACATTTGAACATTTTTTCGATTTTTTTTTTTGTTGTTGTTGTTGTTTCTCCTTTTTCCATCTCAGACATTTTAATTTGTTAACTGCCTACACAAGCTGTTTTTTTTTTTTTTAAATACTGATTAAATGAAGAAAACAATCCTATTTAACCTTTATGACATTAAATCATTCATTATGATGTTTCAAAGACAAACGTATCATTATATTGGTTGCGTTTTTTCTTCTCCCCTTAAAAATTGCAATATTGAGGTCAAGCTTCATATGTGGCCACATCACCCTTGGATTTCACAGACCACAGTGCTTTCAATTGTTGGCTTTGTTGAGTGATGAGCACTAGCACTGCGAGTACCTCTCAAATCAATCTGTTAACTTGAGTTAAACTTGAGAAATACACAATGGGACGCTGCTTTGTTTTGGTTCTCCTACTTCTATTCTCTCAGCATAGAAGAGGTCCAAACAAAATTTTAGTCCAAATATCTGCAGTGAATTAGAGGATAAAACAACCGCCACTAAAGGGTGGATATTATTTGAAGGATGACCATGTTCCCACCTCACAGCTAGCGTAATTCACCCGTTTTCTTGACAATACCACAAAGAAAGGAAAGACCAAACATTTACTTTAGCTGTCATATCCAGAGAGGAGCCAGTTAATGCTGGGAACCGCCTGGACTTTTTCTTTGTCGAGGCAATATTAAAACAGACTTAACGCATATGTAAACTATGAATGCCTATGAAGGTGGAAAACAAGGTAAATATGAACAGAGTGTAGCACATCACATGATCAAAAGTATTTTTCATTAACAAATTGGTATTTTATTTAGAAAAGTATCTTTATTAGGCAGATTAGTATAAATAAACATAATTAAACAAAACTTTTGCTAACATATGAAAAAAAAAAAACATTAGACTTTAAGGCTGCAAACCTTTTTAGGCTTGCTTTGGGTTGGCAACAATATATTCTGCTGTCCACAAACATTTGCACACAGAATTGTCAAATTAATTTTACTTAAATACAAAGTTTCTTAGTGAGAAACTAATCCATTTCTGCTTTAAACAGGAGCCCTGTGCCTGGGACGAAAGCGCATGTATAACTGACCTAAAGTCAATGCCCTTCATCCAAAACCTCTTGAAGAATGGAATAAAGGCAATTATACAATTATATACACTACAAAACTGTACAACAGACAGAACATTTGACAAACATTCTATCATCATAGAAAATAAATAAATACACTTAGTGCATTAAAAAAAGAAAAAAATTAAATTAGAGCGAACCAAACTCAGTTTGGTTCTGCACATCGATTCTCACACTGAGTCAAAGACAGTCCAGCTGCCTCGATTTTTGTTGAATGTTTGTATACGTTTTGTTCAAGAAATTAGATTTTAACACCATTAAAAAAAAAACAAAGGGCAGCTCTAAATGTCCAACAGTGAAATTCATTAATCAGTAAAATGGGTGAAATTGTAGGAAGTGTCTATCCACCAGTTTGGCACAATTCAGTTTTCTTTGACAGATTCTGCATGATCATTTTTACAAAGTTCAACGTAACCATGCTTGCTAGAATGAAACATTTTATGGTATTATTTAGACTGTTTTATATCTTGATCCAATCAATAAATGTACTGATTACATTCATAAACTAGGGATGCACTGACTGTCATCTTTTATTACTATCTTAAGGCAGTTACTTTTTGGTACTCACTGCTAACATTACATCACTACGGCTAAGGCTGCAAATGTGTTATTGCTTTTATACAACACTTCAATGAACCAGAAGTTCACACGGAGTATGATTCGAACTAAATTTGAGTTCGTAGTTAGTATGTTTTTCCTCTGTTGTGAAGGTCGCAGCAGACTACTGCGATTTGGCGTACTTTACTAGGACTGTCCTGCATCTCTCCACCGCTGTGATTCGTGGCACAGTTGTTGACTTTTGGAGCATTTTAAGAGTATGTGTACCAGTATTGGACTGATACCTATTGCTAGCAGTGGCACCGCTAGCATTTCTGGGCCCCTTGGACAGTTTTTGCCTCGGCCCCCATTGAAATTGCGATCGCGTCCCAGGGATTGCATCGGGCCCCCTCTCTAGTCAGGGCCCTTGGAATCGTCCTAACCTTCACCCCTTTACGGCGCCCCTTATTGCCAGTATTGGTACTTAACTATAAAAACACAGACAGAGGCCTGAGTCCATTCTTGGTTTTCTAGTGCTGGTACTTAATAGAGCTTCAATGGCACAATTGAGAAGTGTTCAAAGTTATAATGTGCTCTTAAAAGTCATCTATATTGAACAAAACTTCAAAAGTCAGTGATCAAAAACAAGTGCTCAGTGGTTCATGGTCACTTTAAAAAAAAGTTCGTAAGGTTGCAAAATGTGCATTAACATGTTCAGTAGCAAAAATGATGCAAATCAATTGCTTATCTTAAAAGTTCCAAAATACGTCCCGTCAGCTGCTGGATCCAGTAGCCATGCATTGGATACATTGACATAAATACCATCGCCATTATTCAGTTGGATGCCTCTGCCCTGCTCCACGCAGTACATGTTGTACTTCGCGATGTTCCACTGCAGAGTGCCGCCGCTTTTTGTAAGGAGAATAGGTGTAATTACAGACTGTGTGTGCTTCTCGTGATAAATGTATTGAAACAACTGTACATTGCTGACGTCCTCTTTGCTCGAGTCGTGTTCCTCAGCGTATCGAAAGCAGGTCTTGGCATATACATAGTAATAGCCAGCTTCATCCACTTGAATTCGTCCGTCATGGTATCTCATCTTAACATTCAGTCCTTGAAAATCATCCCAGGTGATCATGGTTAAGGCATTTCGATTTTCTGCAAAAGCAAAAGTAACACAATGAGAATAAACATGTTTGATATAAATATGGATAGATATTACTTGAAGATCACTTTAGGTTTTTTTTATTTTTTTAAAGAAATTTAAAAACATTTCTGGAAACATTTCTGACAATCATGCCACGTGATTCTGAAATAAACAGCATATGCTTACTGGCTGAAAAATTAGTGGGCGTCTTGATAGGAAGGTGAGCTGATGGCATGCGTGTGTCCTTTTTTAGTCGACATTTTTCCTTCCTCTCCTTAAAACTTTTGAGTGGATCAGCTATTAAGGTTTCACTGTGCATTTCCTGAGAAAGAACAACCAAACACATTACTGAATGATCTTCACAGTGCAGATTTTTATGATCATGATCATCTCCAATAAGAAAACAAATATATGTACAGACTAAAGAATGGATATTGAATGTTTATTGTAGATATTTCATGTAAACGAGTGGGATTTTGGACCAATGACATTTCACAGTGGCAAGGTCTACCTAACATGATGCAGCATAAATAGAAACCAGACAAGCTAGTTAAGAAATGGTGTAAAGTTATACTTTGATTCCTCATTTTTTTCCTTATTTCACAAAAGCAACAGACTTCAGGAAATTGGTTACACTACAACACTGTATGATGACCATTTAGGAAAATGAAAAAAAGATCTAAAATTCAAGTCCTTAAAGCTGAAATGTGTCATTTCTGTCACTAGAAACTACAAAAGTCACAACCAGGGTTCAAGAACTTCCACTGATTGGACACAGTTCTGTTCTCAAAGTCAGTATGTAGCATCAGGCTGGTTGGGCTAAATATCGTTCATCGCTACATTTTCATGGTTGAAAACCATTCGAAAACCAAGTGATCGGGAATTTCGCAAGAGGGCGAAAGGTTTCCAGATGCAGATTTCGCATCAGGCTCAGTAGGCCAAGACTCAACTGTCTTTACAGGAACACCGTGCATGACAGGTAAGACCAGATAAATAAAGCAAGAGACCAGGATGTAATAACACTACCAGGCTATAAATATGTCATGCTGTTTCCTTCCTGCAGTTTCACCTGCTCAGGTATGATGTTCTCAGTGCCTCAAGGGTCTTTCGAAAAACTCAGAAAGAATGACACATCTGCTAATGTGCAAGGTATCTTTAAATGGAGCCAACAATCCAGGAAGTCCAGCAAATCTAGAACACACTGAATACTTCAATACACTCCCTTCAACTGTGTGAAATCTAGTCTGATTTGTGGGCGAATATGTCATCATTTTATATATATATTATACCACAAAGAGATTTATATAAGTGGTAGTAGATTAAGGCCCAAGTAAAAGCTATATTTATGAAATATGAACTAAATATCAAACATTATCATATTAGCTTTTTTGTCCTATACTACCATCGAATAGCAAACAAACCTAATAATTAGGGCTTTCAAGTGCAGAGTTCTGGATGTTGTTCGGTGCTCTGACCTTCTTAAGAATTTTGGTAGACCGCAAACAAAGTAGGCCAGCACATACAAGCTCTCAAACTAGATTGCATTTGAGCAACATTAAAAAGCCATGACATAAAATACATTTAAACACTTCTTTCAGGTTTACGTTTCCTCGGAAATAAGTTGCCCCAGAGTAATGATAAAAACAGTAAGCTTCTCATGGCCTGGCAAAGCAAGCTGTCAGGGGGGGGGAAAATGCTTCATAAAGCCTAGAAGACCATGAATAGAAATTTGATATAGCATTATACTTATAAAAAACACACTCTGTGCATACAGGAAATAATCCTTTAAATGCATGTATGACCTAAAGTCAACACACTTTATCTCTCCTCTGATCTCTCTTCACAGATTCTGATATTAATTGAGACAAATCGATTTCTTAACCGCAGCCAAATGTCTTTTCCAAACCCTAAAATTACACTCTACTACATGAGGACAGCACAATGAGAACTGCATCCATACGGACCATATATAGATGTTTAAGCAAGTCATTTGTAATTATAGAACCGGTAGCCCTGAGACATGGTTAAATATCCAAACTAAGTTACTGACAAAGAACAGTTCGAGGGAATTTGACTTGACCTTTTCACAAGCGACTATACCATCACGGTTAAGGAAATGTTTTACAGCAGCCGTGGTATTCTGGTGTGTTTATCCTTGGCTTTATACAAAATATGTGAAAATACCAATGCAGAGCCCATGTGTAACAATGGGACATTGGTACCATTAATGCAAGAAGCACATTCTGTCTGTCCAGTAGACACTACTTGCTGGAGAGATACATGTTTGGAATTTCCTTATTTGTGACCCTGGACCACAAAACCAATCATAAGGGTCAATTTTTCGAAATGATGATGCAACATGATTAATTGTGGTTATTATTCAAGACAGAGAACTCAGAGAGCTGCTGTTCCCAGCTTTCATATGTGACCCTGGACCACAAAACCAGTCTTAAGTGTCAATTTTTCAAAATTGAGATTTATACATCACCTGAAAGCTGAATAAATACGCTTTTCATTGATGTATGGTTTGTTAGGATAGGACAACATTTGGCCGAGATACAATCTATTTGACCCCCAGTGACTTAAGACTGGTTTTGTGCTCCAGGGTCACATTTGTGCTAATAAGAGGAAATGCCTTGCTATAGGCACATGCAATGTCTATAATGCTAAGAATGATGATTAGACCATCACACCCCAACCTGCATAAAGCATCTGTGCACTTCTCAAAATCTTGGTTGGATATGTGTCAACTGTATCAAGTGTCAACTATCAGTTGAAAACAACCCCTGAAAGCATAGAAAAGATCTAAAGCTTCATCGTTTAGAATCTAATGAGATTTATGGTGTACTTAAATTGCATTTTGTTTCTTTCAAAAGACTCCTAAATGCAAATTGTGTTGTGTAAAATGAGGAAAAGAACTGCAAACTGCATGAAACTGCAAACTGATGCTGTTTCTGAGTCTGAGCTAAAATGCACAAGCATGAGGAACACAGACTCATCTTTTGAAGTTTATGAGCTCACCTCATTAGGACTCCGCTGGGCTGAGGCAAGGTCAACCTGTAAAACACAACAAACACAGTTCAGTCACACAACTGCATCCAGCAGGTACCACTGCACACTGCATGCTTTTAATGAACTAACGGGAAAGCAGGCTTACTTTTATTAAGAAATTAAACTGCGCTTGACATGCTCAGAGAACAAAAGTGATGTAAGATGTGCATTTACTGTAAATCCAATTCGATGAGAACTAATATGTTTAGCTACTGTGTGTCTTGACCAATGCACTTCTTCAACATTTGTGGTAAAACAGAACAATATCATCACATAGGGTTTAAATGAGGTGCTTATTATGTTCATATTATATACTATAAGCAACAGACCTAAATCTGCACCTGCAGAACACTTCAAAAAGTCTTCAGACTTCCACAAAATTGGAATGCTTGCCATTCATAAGATTCTTCAAATTCCCCAACACTATTGCTTTCGTTGTTGCATATTTTGACTAAATATTTTTTTTAACAATAAAAAAATCTATAATGCTTAGTGAGATCTCCAATCTCACATTTTACCATGGAAAAAAATCTGTTCCCCAGAATTACACAGATCTTCCCTCAACATAAGTGCAGAAAATGCAAAAACTTATTTCCATTTGGGTCGAATGAATAAAGAGGAACACTGTGGTCTTTGTCAAGTACGTTCAAGCACAAGCAAGTTTTTCTGCTATAACTACATCAGCCACATTTTTGGAAATTAAATAAACTGTTCTCACTGATCTTGGATTGTGATCACTATTTAAAGCGGTAAAACTAGGGCGTCAACACCTATCTGAAACTATGAATAGTGCAGGTGCTCAGTTACAAGGTAATATGATACACACCACAAAATCCAAAAATCCGAAACTTTCTGTAACTGTAAGTGAAACCAGATGGAATGCTGACAGACAGAATGAGAGAGATACGCAGTGTGTGATATTATTCTCATTTCCTCTAAAGCACCGAAACTGCATTTCATATAGGCCTACATGCGCTATAAAAGGAATGAGAAGAAGCTTTTTGCAAAAGCATTTTATTATCATATATGGTTTGGTTCAGTTGAGGATTGTCCCTGCATCCATTTCTGAGGATAGCATGAATCATGAGCCAAACACAACTGACATTCATCTTTTTCCCTTTCTTGCATCTGTTTCTTTGGCCCTCCACCAGCACACAAGAAGCCTCCGACATACACCGCTGCGTTTGGGCCAAAGCCTCACAAAAAACAAGATGTCATAATATTCTCCACAGCATTTAAACTACAGGAGAGAGGTCTGGGCATGACAACATGTGAGAGCTGTTTCTCAGCATCCCATTCACTGCAGCTCTGCCAAACATATAAGTATCAGACCACCAGATGAGCAATGAAGTCAGAGGAAATGTTTTGGAGAATCAGGGTGAAAGGGCAAACTTGACATGACCAGCAAACAATCTTCCCAGAGGGGGAAAAAAGAGAAGTCTTTTTACTTTATAGCAACCATTACACTACTACAAGCTGAATTTCTGAATTCAGGAAATTATGTGCAAAGCATCTCCGGATGCAGCTCACGAAGTTAGTTTGGAGTAAACAGAGCTGGAATCTAGACAAAGAAGAGCCTTGGATTTGTTCAGCATGTTTTGGGCACTACATAATTCCTATTTGTGTTATTGTATAGCTCTGGTGACTTTAATTTTATTCTAATATACTCAGACAGTAATGAACATACATGTCCAGCCATTTGACTGACACTGCATGTCTCTGTATCACTTGTGGGAGAGCCTCAACAGCAAATTTAATGTCTGTTTTCTCCAGATTTCTGGAAAACGCGGAAAAAGGAAACCAGTGCTAGACCAACAACACATTCACAAGGATCAGCATTGCCAAAAAACCAACATTTCCTGCGTCAGCATTTGGATTATACAGTTATTCCTAGAACAAAACTAGTGTACAAAACAAAACTATTTAAACATTTAATAACCAATGACAACGACAGAATTCGGAATCAAGAAAGATCAATAGATCTGCACATATAAAACACAACTCCTATATCACACACTGATATATTTGTGAGGTGATATTAGTAACAGTAATGTCAAAAGAAAAGAAAAATACAACATGTGTACGATAATGTTTTTGTCGCCTGCAAGGACACGGAGATTAAAATCCCTGACACATATACGTTTGTTTGCTTTTTTTTTCTTTTTCTTTTTTTAAATAAACCCACTTAAGCTATCTGAATCACTGAAAATGTATGGACATCAAGAGCTTTAACATTTTGACAACTCTCTGAAGCGACGTCTAAATGATGACAGAATATAAAGTTGAAATCAGATGATCTGTTGAAGGTGCGACTTAATTGGACAGACCAAATTCACACCTTCAAATACTAAAGTCAAATACTTTTTACCTCCAACAATCGTGCAGCTTGTAAAGCATAGAATCAATTGTTTTTGGAAGTTACGTTAAAACCCCACTTGGCACAAAAAGCACTGAGTGGGCACAAGGCGCTTCTCCGAGCGCGCTCTCCTTCTGAAGTTCAAACGCGGCGCGTCTCACACTCTCTGAACCGTCCTGCAGCGCTTGACATTCAGAGTTCACAGCAGGTTAAACGAAACCAGGCCTCAAAAGTGCTGAAACGCAAGTAAAACTTTCAAATGCATGCACCTAAATTGTGACAAAGCCTGTAAAAGTGTTGCAATGAAAGAGTGTATGAAATGTGGGGTACTGTGCTTTCTGCCTGTCTTTGCTTCCTTGAGAGTTTCTTACCTCTCGCAGATAACCGGTTAAGTGCAACAAAATCGCCACACTCGACGCGACCTGCAGCAGTCCCATGACAGCGAGCGTGCCGAATATGAGCGCTCTGTGCGTGGATCCCGTGTGCGCAGCGCGCCCCGGAGCCTCTTCCATATCGATATGATTCCGCAGGTACGCGCGATAATCATTAGCTGCCATGAGCGCTCGATCGCGGCACAGATCCTCTCTCAGTGGGAGGACTCGACAAATGATCAACGATTCATATAAACATGTGGGTGGGCAATGCTGTTGGCTTCGGAGACAGCCAATCAGATAATAGGCACAGATGATCTCGCTTTTTCATGTTTCCTTTTTTCTTTTCTTCACTTCTTTTTGTGCGAGTTCAGTCAAGAGCAGGTTGTTGTAGTCGTATTGCTATCTAAAGAGACTAGGACTACGCTAACCTGGAGATGCACGTGGCTCTTACTTTCTACTTAAAGTAAATGTTTGAAATAAATCAGGGTATTTGTTATTATATGGCTAAATATATTTCCTTGCAACAACCACACAAACCGCAATGGGATTAAACAGACAGCTTCCTAAAACCAGTGAGATTAACATGACAAGTGCATAATAATAAACCACTTGTACTTTAAACCCACTGTAATGGTACTGTGTTGATAATGACTATTACTTCCCGGAGTGATGTAATATTGGCTCCTGTCTGTTGTAATACTGTGACCACACAAGACTGTGGCTGTGCTCATGTACTACCTAACTAGACAGCATTTATTGGTGTTATTCCTAGTGATCTGCCTAGCTAGTCAATCATTTTGGGCATCAAATTTAGTGAGCTGCCTATGCAGACACCAGTTTTTGACATCACTGAGTTGCCTACCTAGACAGCATTTTTGGTGTAATACCTAGATGCCTACATAGACAGCATGTGCTCATGTGCTACCTACCTAGATATGGGTGTTATACCTAGTGATCTGCCTACCTAGTCAATCATTCTTGCCATCAAAGTGAGCTGCCCATCATTAAGTTGCCTACATACTGTAGACAGCATTTTTTGCTGAAATACCTAGTGAGCTGTCTACCTTGACAGAAATTTTGGTGTAATGCCTAGTGAGCTGCCTACATAGACAACATCTTTGGGCATCATATCTAGTGAGCTGCCCACCTAGACAGTATGGGTGTCGATGCAGACACCAGTTTTGGGAATCATGCCCAGTAAGCTGCCTCTCCTAGACAATTTTTGAGCTTCATATGTAAACACCAGTTTTGGACATCATATTGAGACGCATACCAAGACAGCGTGTTTTGGGCATCATGCCAAGTGAGCTGTTTACTTAGACAACAGGTTTAGGCACCATGTCTAGTGAACTGCTACATTTTTGGAATCATGCCTAGTGAGTATTTTTGGATGTCGTACCTATGGAGCCACCCAGGTAGAGAAAAAAACAAAAACAAAACAAACGAGCTGCCTGCCTAAGGTATCACAAGCGCATTCCAAACATCCTGTCTAAGAAGGCAGCTCACTAGCTTTTGAGACACCAACGAAAAGTTCATTAATACTGCTAAAACAGATGTTTTTGTTCCTACACAATCTATACCGTATTGAACAACTCACACAGAATTCAACATTTGCAGTCCAAAAACAGATTTTCCAAATAACGCCCACTTTTTAGATCAGCATCCATGATATTCCTGAAGAGAATCAATGAGTCACCGAGTGTTTATCTGAAATTATAAACATGCTGAAATTCCTCTTGTTATTGCCAAGCTGAAGCGAGGTTAAAAAGAACAGAGCTTCGTAAACAAATGTGCCTTTTGATGTTCAAGCAAGTATAAAATCCCAGCATAAAAACCTGTTTTAAAACAGCAGAGAAAACGCCAGTTTGCGAAAGAGAATTGATGAACATCAACAGAGTTCATGTGCTTGGCTATCCCTCATTCATCCAGCCTCCAGCGCTGAAAGCTTGTAATGCATGCTCCACCATTATATCAGCTTTTTTCAGAACCACAATTATTACTCTGGTTGCAAACAGCACCACGCTGGAGTTTGTGTGACTTCTGCGTAACTCGTGTCCGCTCGCAGTGATTTGGCAACGAGCATTCCAGCGGATGACGATCGGGTCACCTGCATTCCCCTTCTGAAATTAGGGCAAGGCCGGACAAGCTCGAGCACACTCCGTAACCTTATGAACTTGGCTGCCCTCGCAGGGACCGCTATCCCGCAGCATGCCACGTTCGCTTGAGAGTCATTAATATACCGTGAGAACCCTAGTTTTACCGTGGGTTTCTCGTGCCTTCAGCTATTTTCCACAGAATGCAGGCGCTGCGGCAGGAAGGTTTGGGTGGTATTTATACTCTTTTGTTTTGCCATGTGAGCTGTTCTTGCCCAAGCCAGAAGGTAGTTGAATACGCCGAACCCAGCACTCCATCAGAATATGACAGACGGTCAAAACCAGGCAGTGTTGAGAGCAAAGCAGCCGAAACCACTGGCAGGCATTTTCCTCAGTGCTGAGCAGGCCCCTGGAGCGTATTATTAGCTCTCCTGTAAGCGTGGTACTGTACACACAGGATGAGCAAGAGCACCACGCCAGAATCCTTCCCATGTTTCGCAGACTGTGGAGTCACCGTGAGGATGTTTTTTTCTGGCTGCAGACTCCATGTGGCTACGCTAAAGTGTCTCAGGCCGACCGCTTTCTTTGCATAAACTTCACAATATTTCAGCACTCAAGGAGAGGCAGGAAGTTCGATTTGAAATATTAGCATCACCGCAGAGCCTCGCTCATGGGATTTTGTATCCCATGGAACTTTTCGTTGTCCTTTTAGCCTGCGGGATTACATATTCATAGTTCTTACAGTGCTTAATAACACATAAACAGCGCTGCGGTCATTGCTCATATTAATCTGTGATCAGTGTCAGAGCTGCATACGCACAGAATTAAGAAGTCGCCACGTTCCAGACTTCAGAAATGGGACATGAAAGAGTGCAGTGTTGTCCTTTCCCTTCTCCGCCACATCCTGTGTGGTAAGTCATCCCAGAGCACACAAAGAACGCTCGCCTCTTCCTCTTTTCTCCTTCCTCGCTCTCTCTTTTATACATCATAACAGAAGAGGTCTTGAAAAGGGCACTTTAGCTCTGCTCTATGTCTGTTTCGGTCTTCGCACTTTATACTCAGTCTAACGAAGATTATTGCGAAACAACCAACTTGGTGACAGATAAGTTGGCACATGGGCCTTCGATGCACACTGCACGCAAACTTGGCAAGAGCTCCAAAACACATGGCATGCTGCATTCTAATTGGCTGGCGTTGTGCAGGATTCACTGGTTCAGTCTGTTAGGGAAATCGAAATCATGTTTACAAGTCCCTATGCGACTATAATAAGGAACATCAAGTCTTAAAAAAGTACTCCAAACAGTTTCGCTTGGAGATTGGTCCCCTTACATGTCGGTCAGACAGCCACTTCCTGTCTAAGTAGGCGGTTCTTGGCCATGCTAAAGTGCAAAGTGGACTAGACTTTATGTTGGTAATAAAAAAAAATGTGGCTATACGAAGACAAGGGGGAATGTGGCTTTGACCAAGCACTGATTTGAAAACATCACTTGCGAAATAAATGTGCCAAAAATATTCAGGCATAATACATATATTCAGTTTCACTTTATGAGTAGTTTCACTAGTTGGAATACAATGCAGATTATTAGAGCATGCGTCAATGGTTTGACAGACAAAGACTGCTGTTGTGCCAGAGGAATCACTCTAGTCTAAGCTCAGTCTAGGGATTATAATGTCTAATTGCTTCTAGAATTTCTAGGAACTGTTATGAATCTTGTGCCAGCATGCGCTATGATCAGGTTAACCATTCTGAAGGGGGGAAATGGCCAGCATAACCTCTTATTTTGATATGTGATCTATTGTTATGGTTAGAAGGCAGCTTATAAAAATACTTGGCTTCAATACAGTAGAGGTTTCAATGATCTGGATGGGGTCATAGTCTACATTATACTTTTCAGTGAACATTGGGACAAAACCCAATTTTTTATCATTTTGGAAAAATAAATGGACCAAAACAAACAGCTGGAAAGAGAATGTTGTTTTGATAGCCTGTGCTATAATGCACCTTGATCGTAATCGATATCACATGCTTGGTTCCAAAACCTAGTGAACTGGCAACAGAGGCAGCATTGTAAGGCAGCATTGGCACGCTTCGATGCTAAAGCCCAAAGTAAACTTTCCCTGTTCGTAGACCGTCCATGTGACGTAGGTTTCAATATCAGCACAGTCCACAGCCCGATTTTTGTATCCATAAAGACAAAAGAAATGTCCACTAGATATTACTATAAACAATATTTGTGTGGTGCACACAGATTCCCAAACTTGTGAGGTTTCAAGATGCTGACTAGGAAGGCAGCTGCCTATGTAGGCAGTAGACAGCGAGGCAGCACAATAGGTTTTGGTCCAGCGCTAATATAATTCAGGAGGTGCTTGCTGTATCACTATGGGGCGATGATTTTAAGATGAACAGTGTGGAATAGGGCAGCGGTAGACCATTACAGCTAAACCTTCAGTTAGAGGCTGCCCAGTCTCTCATTATCCCAAGATAAATTGCAACTGGCTCCTTAGTGAGTGCACAGCCGCATTCACGACTCCGCTCAAGACCGAAACATGCAGCATGCCACCAGATTAGCACTGCCTCTTCCTGCACTCCCCACAAACAGCTTCCTGCTTGTTTTTCCGTTAGTTAAGGCCTAATTCGAGTTGCCACAGCGCTGCCCATTTTAACCCACTGACAGTTTTTCCCAGCCTGCCTCTCTAGAGCTTTCCAGTTGGCAAAGAGCTCCTGCCCTACTGACCAAGGTATTACCACTGTGAAGATGGTAAAACTTGCGGCTGCCGCATAATGTGTCACTGGTTATTTATTCGAATAGCTGGAGACATGATTCAAACACGGTGATTAAGAACACCCCGTTCATTACAAAATCCCCCAAAACTAATCCGGACCGTTTCCATGTCAATATGGAGGTACATGCCGGGGACGGCTACAGGAAAGCTGAGGTCATGGAAGGGTATAGACAATTGTTTTTCATATTATGACATGTCTGAGTCAGGAATGACTTCGTCAGGAGACAGGAAGCAGCATGATCAAAGCACCGATATTATGATATGTCAGGCTGATGTAAGTCCGGTGTGTACGGCAACTCTAGGTGTCACCCACATGTGATTAATGTGTTTTCAGTCACTTGAATAAAAACATGTTCAACCATGGGAAACAC